AAAAGCGTTTAGCACGGTGTCTGGCACATGGTATGTTTTATATAAAAGCTTATTCCCGTTGCCTTCCTTTTCCCTTCTTTAATATAGTACTAATGGACCATCAGGTGTCTGGTCAATGAGACACGCAATGCCAGAACAAAATCCTAAAGGTATGTTCCCTGGGAACATCGACACCTTGTATAGAGAGACATCTTTAATACCAGAACAAATGCCTTTAGTATTCATAAACAGAAACATTGAAGTAAACAAAATAAAAACAAAATAATACATAAAACTATAAACTCTGAATTACTTACAATTTGTTTTGACTGTATATATATTTAACCCCCTAAAAGAATCATAATACTTTGTTCATTTCTCTGTTTCTTCTTAATTTCTTTTTCTTATGTGCATATTATCAGTCAATAGGTAATATTTACATAGCCTTTTAAGATTTACAAAGACTTTACATATATTATCTTAGTTGACCCTCACAACAACCTTTGAAGTCGGTACTATTATTATTATCCCTAATTTGAAGATGAGAAAACTGAGCCTGAGAGACAATGATTTGTAAAGCAACTGTCTGAAGTAAGCTATAATTTTTGCTGCTACACTTAATATAATTTTAATATAATCAATGTTTTATGCATATGGTTGGTCTTACTATATAGCATTTTGTATCTCATATTCCTTGTACTATAATGATTTTCTTATATTTTGTCCTAGACTACAAACTCCTTGAAAGCAGAAAGTATTCCTTACTATTCTTTATATTTCCCATGGTGCCTTTTGCATAGCAAATATTCAATATTTTTTATCATATTTAATTAATGACAACTGGCTACAATCTTGGAAAGAAATTTTAGAAAACAATTTCTTTTCTCAAAAAAAAATCTGACAAAATTTCAGAAGATACTATAAAACAGTATGTGGGAGTAGAAAGCTCATTATTCTAGTCAGGAGAACTAGCCACTAGTCAGCTATGTAACCTCTGGTAAGTCACTTCATTTTTTGAAGCCTCATTTCCTCATCTGTGAAATGAAACAGTTAGTTTAGATGACTTCTAAAGTTTCTTCTGGCTGCAAAAATTTTATTTTAGAAAGTCTGAGAATAGTTGCTTTAACTTGACAGATTTTAAAATATTTTTATGTATGGAGCTGATCAAGAGAGCTCCCTGACCAATTTGATGAGGCAGTGATGGGCCATGCCCAGGCAATCCTTAAGAGAAAGCTGAAGAGTTCAAGAGGAGGTCAGTTTGAGCAAGGCCTGATGAGCAACTCAGCTCCCCAAAACATAGAAGACTCAAGGAATATAAGAAGGGTAGGCTCACCAGAAGCCATATTGAGCTGCCATAGTAGCTGTACCAAGGTGGAAGTAGCTGCCATAAGAAGTAGAGCTAGGACTCTGGTCCAGCCTGGGAGTGAGGAAGTGTGGGACAAATGAGCACAAGGGATATCAGCAAAGATGCTGTATTGCTGAAATACACATTGAGTACAGACTCCAAGGTGTTAATCCTACATTTCTTTCTCTCCTTGGGCTTTCTCTTTTCTGCTGGGGAATGGAAACTCTATTTACTTTCCTTTGTTTCAAATGTTTGCTTTGTTTTTATAAACAGCAACCCACAAACATTTGCTAAACTAAATGTACCAATGCAGACTAAGTTTAGAGGAGGAAATTGTTGGGAGGCACCATAGATAAGAAAAAGAGAGTCTAAAAACTGAAGAGTTTCCAGAGCATTGTCTCTTGGAGCTGAAAAGATAGAGAATTATAAATTCCTTTGTTACAACTTTCCAGAGCAGAGAAAGGATGTTTTATTTGGAAACCCATCTAGGTAATGAGTCGATAGTAGGTTGGGAAAAGGTAGGGTGAATAGGAGTGATTAAACAACCCTTGCTCAATAACCTACTTCACTGCTGCTATATTTGGGACTTTGCATTCCCAGTTCATTGGGAATGAGTTGGTTAGTTGGACTTTTGTAGGTCAGAGCCACTCCATTGTCTTAGACTTATATTATCCCCCTCAGCCCCAGGAGGGTTCCTGGACCCCAAGTTTCTGACCCTACCATAAAGAGGCAATGGTATCACCCCTTAGTTTGAAAGATGACGATTATAGATAGAACCATGATGCTGAGAGTTGGGAGTTCTAGAACCCCAAATTTTTGGAGGATCATTAGAGAATTCCTGAATCTTCTGGATGGAAGGTTTGAGGTGGTTCCTGGAAGGGGCCAACCTCTTTAGGAACTCCAAGTTTGAGAGGTTAGGAACCTTCCTGAGCAACACCACCACCAACATCTTCAGAAAAGATTGGGCAAATGACCCTGCAGTTGGACAAACAACAAGGGACTGAGCCAGGAGGTTTTATTTGTTTTTATTTGTTTATATTTGGTCTTGACTTCCTGTGTGATTTCACTGGCATGAGGAACTCCCAGAGTGGAAACTCTTCCATTAATGCAGATCAGCTGCTTTCTATAACTTTTAGCGTAAGATAGCTGCCAAGGACACCAAGGAGTTAAGTGATCTGTCCATAGTTACACAGCAGGTATCTTTAGGAAGCATCGGAGGACTTAGCTCTCCTCTATTCTTATGAATAGTTCTGATAATGAAGGTTTTGTTTGAAGGAGGTTGTCTGTCTAGCAAGCCTATCTTTTGTTTTATTTTGACTTCCCGAGTAGGTCCAGTCCTTTAAGTTAGTACTATAAAAGGGGTGAATAGTATATGTAAGGGTAGATTGAAACTTCTCCACCCCATTTTGGCTAAGATACCTTAACTAGGTGAGAATGCATTATAGTTGATTGATCAAAAGACCTTAGATTAAGGGTAAAACATTGCCATTGGTGTTGTTGTTCCTGCTCCAATCTGTCCTCTCCATGGCTACCAAAATGATTTTCCTACACTGTAAGTGGAAACAAGGCCAACCCTCTAATCAATAAACTCCAGTAGCTCTCTCTCTAACCTCCTCTGTTCTATATTTAAAGCTATTTGCCTACCAACTATCTTTTGAGTTTTTAAATTCATTCCTCCATGCATTCTAGTCTAATCATATTGGCCTAAATGTAGTTCCCAACATAGGACTCTCCATTTTCTATCTTTGTGTCTTTGCACTGGCTTTCTGCCATGCCTGGACTACTTATCGTACCTACTCTTCTCACTACCAACTCCTATCATCTCTGGCTTTCTTTAGGACTCAACTGTAGCCCTTCTTCCTCTAGGAGGCATTTCCCAGGCCCCACTGGGTCTAATGCCTTCCCTTCTAAGAATACCTTCCATCAACCCTACATTCATCTGGTATCTACAGATCTATGGTTATGCTTTATGCTCTCTTCTCCCATTAGAACGTAAACAGAGTAACCTTTCAGCAAAACTGGCTAGTTGATCAATTGATTAATCCATGCAGTTTTGGAACAAGAGTCTAAGGGCACCAAATCACTGGTGAATTAGCGGGCCCCAGCAGTTAGGTGGTACAGGGGAAAGAGCACCACCAGCCCTGGAGTTAGGAAGACCTGAGTTCAAATTCAGCCTCAGACACTCACTAGCTGTGTGACCCTGGGCAAGTCACTTAACCCTGTTTGCCTCACTTTCCTCATCTACAAATGAGCTGGAGAAGGAAATGACCAACCGCTCCAGTATCTTTGCCAAGAAAACCCCAAATGCGGTCACAACTGAAATGACTCAACAACAATGAAGCAAGGCCCTGATCATTCAGCCATCTCCTTGCCATTCATCCTGCAGGGACATTACTTACCTCATCCCCTCATCTCGCCCCTTTCTATCTTCTTATCTGAGAGCAATAATCAAATCAATAGTATCAAAGGATTCTGAGAAAAACACATTTATTGGTTCTGCTCAACGTCCCAGCTAGATATCTCAGTGGATAGAGCCCTGCAGGAAGACCCGAATTCAAATTTGATCTCAGACACTTATGAACTGAGTGACCCTGGTCAAGTCAGTCGATCTCTGCCTCAGTTTCCTCATCTGTAAAATGGAGATCATAAATAGCATCTACCTCCTAGGGTTGTTGTGAGGCTCAAATGTGATAATAATTGTAATGTGCGTGGCATATAGTAAGTGCTATATAAATGTGAGCTATTATTTCCAAACCAAAGAATTCTTCCCTAATCACCACTTCCTTAACTGTATTGTTTCACCCTACAAGAATGTAAGCTATTTGAGGGCAATGAATGTCTTGCTTTACTATTTGTACCCCCAGTACTTAGCGTTGTTGTTTGGTCATCATTCAGTCTTGGGGTTTTCTTGGCAAAGATGCTGGAGTGGTTTTCCATTTCCTTCTCTAGATATTTTGTGACTTGCCCAGGGTCACACACAGCTAGTAAATGTCTGAGGTTTGATCTGAACTCAAGTCTTCCTGACTCCTGGCCTGGTACTCTAGCCACTGAACCACCCAGCTGCCTCCAGTACTTAGCACAAAGCTTGCCAAACAGCAAGTGCTTAAAGCATGATGCTGTTTCCTCTCCCATTCATTCATTCACAGGACCTAAGGCTCTTTTACCCAAATTTGTGGAAATCTCAAAACAAATGATGTTTGACCTATATTCTGAGGTTCGTAGAAGAAACCCTGGGTAGGGAAAAATGACCTAAAGTGATACGATTGGGAGGGCAGGGTATAGAAGGAGAACTGTCTCCAAGATTGAACTCAGTTTGTGTAAGCTGAACTTTGTGTTCCCCCTGAAGCCTTGGTGGAAGGATTGCATTTTATTTTTGCAGTATTCTATAGATTTAAAAAAACACACATGTAAGTTTTGCTTAACGCAAAAACTTATATTAGAAGTCACTTCTTAAAATAAAAATCAGAAGATAAAAAATATGGAGTACATGCTTGTAAGAAAATTGTGGGTGAAACAAATTAGCAAGGGATTTTTTTATCTGAGTTCATACCCAACTTAAAAATAGTATTACTCCCTAATAATATCTCATATTTACATAGCACCTTATAGTTTGTAAGTACTTTCCTTACAACCAGCCCATGAGGTTGGTAATGTGACTGTTATTCTCATTTTGCAGAGATGAGGCTCTGAGAGATGGAGAAGACGGCCTAGAATACACAGCCAGTTAAGCATCTGTGGCAGGATGTGAACCCAGGACTCACAATATCAAGTTTTGTACTCTATTCACTCTCTTTACCTAATTAAATTCCAGGTGGACACTCCCCCAGCTTGTTCATCTTCATGGGAAAAGTTATCTGAATAATTAACCATCCTTATTTTACTAAGGAAGAAATTAGTTTTGGTTCTTAAAATGGAAAATCATAGAACATCAATAACAAAGGCAAAACCTGCTGATTTTTCTATGACATCCTTCATCTGAACGAAATAATGAAAATACTGAATGGAACTAAATGATCACTAAGAGTTTGTCCTTTAAAATATCTCTTTTTCACACACTGAGACTTTTTATAATTGTCCACCTTTTTCACTAAGGGCCCATAGAATGGTGTGTGAGGGGATCACAAGACAGGGATGAGAGATATGAAAGAAGAATTATTTTCAGATTAGACATGCCATTTATAAATATGAACCAACATGATAATTTGGATGGCTTTATAATTGATCATTTATGTAAACACAGGACCATAGATTTAGAGCTAAAAGGGATCTTGCAGGCCATCTGGTCCAACCCCTTCATTTCACAGATGCAGAAACTGAGGCTTAAGAAAGGTTAATCTATAACCTTGATTCCCCTAGGGGTCCCACATGACTCTAGGATCCCAGGTTCTATGTGTGTGTGTGTGTTTATTTATTAACTCTTCCACACCAGAGCTTGTCTTTACCAATAATACAACCTCAATATGAAATCATATAAAAGACACCTGATTCCAAAATCAATGGTCATTTAATGAAGATGCAATAGGAAGGCAAATAACAGGGAGGTAAATATTTTCTCATGGAGATGTAGACCATGCCTCCAGCAGGTCATGATCAACTTCTTTAATTTCTCTGCTTCTCTGCCATCTTGCTAGGACTTGGTTGAAACTGATAGGACCAGTGATGGCACTCAGGGTCCGTCCAATGGCACCTTCCTCTTGGGTTTCTCTTGTTTTAGTTTTGGGGTACCAGTCTAGAGCAAAGATTATGCGCTGGGGCCAGCTTCCCTCTTGCTGAAGATCCAGAATCGTCATGCCATACCAGGGTACCCTGTGTAATCCACTGAGTTCCCTTTAGCTTTCCTCCAGATTTGTGCTGGCTGGTCTCTAATCACTGCTTTATATGACTGCACTGGACTTGTTCCAAATGCACATTGCTTACTCTTCCTTTGCATAAGCCTGCTTTTCCTGCTATACAACTGCTATCTTCTCCCCAGTCTGTGCCTGCCTCGTATAATCCCATGTTCAGGCACAAGGCACCCGGGTCCCAGAGCTTTCTCCAATATATAGCAGCCCTCATCAAAACTATAAGCTAACTGAAGCTGTGCTAAAGAAGGTTGATTAAAGGGTTGAGACCATCTCAGTGACCTCATCATTTTCCATGAATTCAGCTATCATCTCTATGTAGATGACTCCCGAATCTGTACCTCCCCTACCCTCATATCCAATTAGTTGCCAAGTCTTTTTGATTATATATCTCAAACTCCCCTGCTCTCCACTCATGTCCACAGCCACCTTATTTCAATTGGCCTTCCTGCATCCAAGTTCTCCCTACTCTAATCCATTCCAGCAAAGGGATATTCCTAAAACACAGGTCTGATCACGTCACTTTTCTTTTCAAGAAGCTTTGAGGGTTACTCATTGCCTTGAGGATAATATGCAAACTCTACTTGTTGGCATTGGGAGCCTACCTTTCTGGCCACATTACACAGTATTATTGACTTCTAGCCAAACTGTTTGTTATATAAGACATTTTATCTGCCACCTCCTTGCTTTTGCACAGATTGTCCCCCTGTGGTTGGAATATTCTCCTTCCTCACATCCCTCTGGTGGATCACATCCTTCTAGCTCCCTTCAAGGCCGGTACTCAAGAAGACCTTCTAAAGGTGACCTCTCATTCTCTCCCACCCCCAATCACTGTCTTTATCCAGTGAACCCGTCCTATTGACCCGTAGAATATAAGCTCCTTGAGAGCAGGGACTTTTGTATTTGTATCCTTAGTGCCTAGCATAGTGTCCAGTCACTTAATACATGTTTGTTGATTCACTAATTGATATTATTTATCCATCTATCTGTATGTTCTAGATATGAATGGGAGTGCATTGTTCTGATTTCCTGCCACATACATTTCATTATTTACAAACAAAAGGAAAAATAGTCCAGTTTTAATAAGTTGTGATAAAAGTACTGATAGCCTAGGATTTCTCCATATTTTATAAATATTCTTATTAAAGTTTATATTAACTATATACTTTTTCACCCAGATAACATTTAAACTCTTAATCCCTTGAAAAATATAATAAATATAAAAGGACAAATTTGAAAAATATATAAAAAACAAATTTAGAAAAGAGAACTGCAATTACCAGCTATATTTCTTAGACTGAGTAAAGAGTTTGGGAATAAAACCCAGTATAATCTACATCTTAACCATATTATTTTTCTTCTTAATAAACTAAATCATTAGGGACAAATTCTCTCATGAATCTCATAACCCTGGACTTCTTGGAGAGCCCAGAGCATGTAACTAGGCATCACAGGATTATTTTTTATTATAAATACTATAATCATTTTCTCCCAAGCTGCTCTTGCATCCATCCTGCCAAACCTGCCTGAAGGAGAGATTAAAGCACAGAGCACAACCAAAATTGGAGTCTATCAACCTTACAGAAAGACCAGTTTCAACTGTCAACTTTATCTTCTTAATAGTACAACGCTTTGAATCTTTCCTTTTAAAATTAGCTAAGTTTATTCAGTATGCAAAAAAAATGCACCCTACTCAATGAAAAGTAATTCCATCAGATCACTGGCTTTGTGATTTCTAATGCAGCCCAGTTTTAAACTTAAAAAAAAAATAATCATAATTTTTCACATAAAAACTTTGACATTAGAAAATCTTTTTGGTGAGATTGACCAGAACTATTCATGATACTTGCATTCCTGTAAAACTTCTCATTTAACTGGAGTGTATCACAAAAGGCTATGTGCAGGTCTACACCACGAAAATGAATTTGGGAAACCCCTCCATTATTAAACTCAGTGGATTTTAATGGCATGTTTTGGGTGGGAATAACTGAAAAACAAATTTAAGTTTAAAATAACTTTTGATAAAAGCCTGTGAGGTGGGTCTACGAAATGGTGTCCTACTTTGTTAGCTGGTTTAAAATTTTTTATTATCAAGGTTGCTTCAAAGAGATGTTGGGTGAGAGACTTGCTTTCCCTAAATAGGGAGAGTTGGCATGTGTGCCTAGCAACACCGGCTGAAGCCTTCTGTTATGGAAGGTTCCCTTGGAGTGAGAAGGAGGGAGGAGGAGGAAAAAGGCAGGAGTAACAGATTAATCTGTTTTTCCTAGCAGGGGGCAGAGGCCCAGTTGCCTGAGGAGAGAAAGCAGGAGGAAAAAAAGCACATGCTAGTCTAACCTCTCGGTAGTAGCCTGGGAAGGTTTTCAGTAGGATTAACGTGGCAGTTTAATGGGCTGAGAAAAAAGATATAGCCCAATCCTTCTATAGCCAGTTTAAAAGCTCAGTTGTTCAAGAGAAAGGCATCGACAGGCCTTCTGGCCGCCTCTTAGGAGTGTTTTGGAGGGCATCAAAAAGTCATCTGGAAAAGGGCTTATTGAAGGATGGGATGTTTGTGTCTCAAGGATAGGTAAACAGGCATTTAGTACACTTGGCTTTAGTGCTGGGGCATTGCAAGAAGTAGAGAAAAACAAATCACTTTCCTCTTGGCAAAGACTTGAGGTAAAAAGGTTAGAATGCTAGGTAGGAAAGTTGAAGGCTTTGATAATGGGGATGGGCGGGCGGGGCCGATCCCCCACAGGGGCCTCAGTTAGGAAACCATTTATGCTAGGACCCAGGATACACCATGTACCGGAAAGGACCAGACTTCAAGTAATTCTATTGCCTGCTTTAATTCTTGCCAAGAAGTTAAAACTCCCGAGTTTTTAAAAAAAAAACAAAAAACTCTTACACTCAATCATACCAGCCTTATCAATCGTGAGTCATCCCGCATTTACGCTCGACACAACAATCTCGGCCTCCCCCACCCATCCGTTTTAATAGGCATCAGGGGAGCGAGCCACTTGGGGGAAGGAGCTTTCACTATTCAGCTTTGGTTTTGGGGCGCAGGCTTCCACTTCGGCTGGGCAGTGAGAGCAGGGTTTGGAGGAGGGGGGAGCAGGGATTTGGGGAGTGTGCATGTGGAGAGCTGTCAGGGTGGGGAGTGCCCCAGAATCATGGGGGGGAGTGCCCCAGAATCATGGGGGGGGCCGGGGAGCCGGTTGCAGAACTGGGGCGAGCTTTAAAAACATCAACACACGCGTCCCAATTTTCCACTTGGCTCTGGACCCTTAGGTCAAAGGAGGTCGAGGTGGGGCGGCTCCCTGGCCACGGGTGTGTTTGAGCGTGACCAGGTGAGGGTTGCCGGGATCCCAAGTGACTCAGTGCTTTTTTTTTCTCTCCTCCCTCCCCATCCCTCTCCCTTCCCCTTCTCTCTCCCCCTCCCTTCCTTCCCCTCCTTTCCCCTCTCTCTTTTCCTTCCCTTTCTCCCTCTTCTCTTTCCTCTCTTCTTCCCTTTATCCTCTCTTCCTCCCCATTTCTCCTTCCTCCTCTCAACTCCCTGTCCTTTTTCCTCTCCTCTCTAGCCTTCCTTTTTTTCTCACTCCTTTTCTCCTCTCCCCCTCATCCCTCCTCCTTCTTTCCTCTCCCCCCTACTCCTCTCTCCTCTTTCCCCCTCCTCTCTTTCCCTTCCCTCTCCCCTTCCTCTACCCCCCTCCCCTCCATCCCTCCTCTTTCCCATTCTCTCCTCCTCTCTCCCCTCCTCCTTCCTGCTTCTTTTCTCCCCTCACCCTCCCTATTATTCCTTTCTCTTCCTTCCCCCTCTTCTCTTCCCTTTCCTCTCCTCCCTCCCCTCTCTCCTTCTTTCCTCCTCTATCCCTGTTTCATATCTTCCTCCCTTCTAACCCTCCTTCCTTCTCTCCCCTCTTTCTTCCTCCTTTCTCCCCCTCATTCCTCCCCTCCCCTCTTTCCCCTTCCTTTCCTCCCTTTCCCATCTTCTCCTTTCCTCCATCCCTCTTCTTTCCTGCCTCCCCCTCTCCTCTCCATCCCTCCTCCTTCCTCTCCCCTTCTTCCTCCTCCCCCCCCCCCCCCCCCCCTTCCTCCCCCCTCCCCCCCCCTCCCCCCCCCCCCCCCCCCCTTCTCCTCCCTCCCCCCCCCCCCTCCTCCCCTCCTCCTTCCTCTCCCCTTCTTCCTCCTCCCTCCCTCCCCCTCCGTATTCCTCTTCTCTCCTCTTTCCCTCTCTACCCCTCTCCTCCCTCCCCCTCCCCTTCCTCTCCTCTATCCCCTTCTCATCTCCTCCTTCTCTCTTCTCCTCCCCTCCATCCCTCCTCTTTCCTGTCTCCCCCTCTCCATCCCTCCTCTTCCTCTCTTCCTCTGTTCCTGCCTCCTCCCCCTCCCCCTCCCCATTCCTTCTCTCCTTTTTCTCCCTCTTATCTCCCCCTCTTCTCCTCCCTTCTCTCTCCCCTTCTTCCCTCCTCTATCCCCTTCTCATCTCCTTCTATCTTTCCCCTTCTCTCCATTCTCTTTCCTCCCTTCCCCTCTCATCTTCTCTCTTCCCCCTCCACTCCATCCCTCCTCTTTCCTGTCTCCCCCTCTCCATTCCTCCTCCTTCCTCTCTCCCTCTCTCCCTTCCTCCTTCCCCCTTCCCATTCCTCTTCTCTCCCCTTTCCCCTTCTTGCCTCCCCCTCCTCTCCTCCCTCCCCTTCTCATCTCTTTCTTCTCTCTTCCCCTCCACTCCATCCCTCCCCTTTTCTGTCTCCCCCTTTCCATCCCTCCTCCTTCCTCTCTCCCCTCTCCTCTCCCCTTATTTCATCTTTCCCCCTCTAATCTCCTCTCCTCTCCTCCCTCCCTTCTCATTTCCTTCTCCTCTCTTCCCCCTCCCCTCCCTCCTCCTTCCTCCCTCCTCCTTCTCCCCGCCTGGGCTCTCCTCCCCCGCCCCTCCCTCCTCTCGCTCCCCACCCCTCCCCCTTCCTCCTCTCTCCCCTCCCCTTCCCTCCTCCTCCTCCCTCCCTCTCGGAAGGGGAGGAGCCGCGGCGGGGTCTCGGGCCAGAGCCGCCGCGGCGGGCAGGGGCAGCGGCGGCGTCTGCAGCTGGAGGAAGAGGAGGAGGAGGAGGAAAGAGGAAGGCTCCCAGGACCCCGAGCGGCGGGGAGGCGGCGGCGGCGCAGGAAGAGCTGGTTAACAAGATGGCCCCTGCTGCCGGAGCGGCCTCGGCAGCAGCAGGTGGGAGCTGGGAGGCGGCGCTGGCGGCGGCGGGGGCCGTGGCCCGGCGGCCCGGGTCCGAGGCAGCGGCGGCGGCGGCAGCGGGGGCGGCGGCGGCGGGGACCGTGACGGCGGCGGCGGCGGCCGCGGGGGCCCGGAGCTGAGAGGCGCTGCCGCTCGGACCGGCGCGGTGAGTGAGGAGGAGGCCGCCGCGGGCGAGGGGAACAATGGGGGACGCGGCCGGCGAGCTCGGGGAGGCTCCGCTCCCGGCCTGGGCCTCCGCTGCTAGGCCTCAGGCCTCCGCCGGCCTCGAGTGCTCCGCCGCCCGGAGGGGTTGGGAAGGCCAGGGAGGTCGGGGCTGGGCTCCGCCCTGGCCGCGGGGCGGGCGTCTGCGGGCCCTCCCGGGATGGGCGCTTGGACCCCGCGGTGGGGAGCCCGGGACTCGACGGCTCCTTGATCGGGTGATTGATTGTTTGGGGCTGGGGGCTGCTCGGACCTGCTGGAAATGCCCCGTCCCTCCATGACCCCGCAGCCGCGGCCAGAAGCCGCCGCCTCGGTCTGCCCCCCTCCCCGGGGGTCCCCTGGAAGCTTCCTCTCCCCCTGCCCCTCGGTGGCTCCCCGCTTGAGCTTGGAGGGGGGTGGGGGGTTGGAGGGGGGCGGTGTTCCCGAGTGGTGGGGAAGGGGAGAGTCAGGGAGCGGGGCATCCCTGCCTTAGCTGCCCACCATCCTGTGGGCCCTGGGTAAGCGAAGAGCGGGGTCGTGGGGAGTGGGGCACTCCTGGAGCATCCCTACGGTGTTTACGCCCTAAAATGACAGAGGACTGGCGGCAGCACGGTCACGTGTGCAAAACAAAAAGGACCGAACCCCCGTTAAATACGGTTTTTTTTCTTTTGGACTGATGATCCCATGTGGCATAAGAAATGCCATTAAATCTGTCAAAGAAAGAAAAAACCCAGCCCTCTGATGAGTCTATTTCTCCAAGACACATGTGGTCAGATCCAGGAATACAACTCCTGCCCTTCTGGCTCCTAATAATTGTGTTGTGATTTTGCTTTTCAGTACTTGGCCTAGAATCATTCAATGCCATCCTTTCTCTTACAGAGTTGGTTTGAAATCTGGATGTTTGATTTGGGTGGATTATTTTTTTTCCTGAAACAATTAGGTTATTAATTTTTTTTTTTGGAGTAAGAATTTTGCGAACAGAAATGGCAGTATGACAGTTTTTGCTCTGTCCTGTAGTGCCATCTTTCTAATCTTTCCATCTTATAGCTTCCATTTCCACCATATCTAATTTTTTTAGGAGCTCAGCCATTTTAATCCATTTATGGAGATAAAGAAAAGGATCCCTGTGATATTTTGTGCTTGGTTTGCAAGTGTAGGCACTGATGTTAAGGGAGCTTGAATACATCAAAGGAAGACATTGCTGTAGCATTCCTCTGCCCCAGAGAGGTTTATTTCTGTCCTAAAAGCAAGATTTATGATCTAACACCTTTCATGTATTGGATTCTAACATTATAACTCGCATGGGACTCAGACCTTTTGTCATTGAAAATTGATGTCTGAAGAGTGTTTTTCATTTTTTAAAGTTAAATCAGTATTCTGTTTTCCAGCATATGTATCCATAATCACCATTTACAAGAATTGACAGTGAAGAATTCTTATCAGTTTGGGGAATAGCAATTCAGTATTAGCTTTGAAACTGAGCTTCCTTACTGTGGTTTTGGGGGATTTAAAATATAGCTCATTGCTTTTTTGTTTGTTTGTTTTGGCCTGGCCTAAATATTTCATTCTGTGCCTCTAAATGTAAGGTGAGTATTTTTTTACTCTTTCATTGAACACTTGTACTTAGTTCCTGCTGTCGTAAATATGGTTTTGCAAAGCAAATCTATGCCTCTTTTTTCAATTGAGTATTTTCTATTTTCATTTCTAAATATTGTTGTTTAGGCTAACTGAGAGAGGTTTGAAGAAAGTGATAAATTCCCTTCAAATCTTTCACATAATGTATTTCATCTCAGTTGAGGTCCTATCCTAGTACTGGATATTGCTATCCACATCTTGCTGTCATTTGTTTGTTCATTCATTCATTCATTCATTCATTCATTCATTCATTCATTCATTTATTTATTTATTTATTTATTTTTGGGGTGAAACTGGTGATTTAATTAGTGTGCAAACTCTGTCCACCAACGAAGATTACAGCTCCTCTGTAACTATTCAAGTCTTAGTGACTTAGGACAATGAGAAGTTATGGCTCACCCTCCTCATCACCACTGGTCTGTATCAGGCAGAACTTGAATCCAAGAATCCTTGCATCCAAAGACAGTTCTTTATCCGCAACCCACTCTGGCTCTCTGTAGGCAGCACATTCCATTTTAGAAATATACAAGGTTAGGGTCTTTTGGAAATAAAATCTAATTGTGTTGGACTGGGGATAATTTACCTGATAAGTAACAACTTTAGCCAATTGTGGTAGGAATTTTGTTTTTGCACTTAAATAAGCAAAGTAATTTTGACCTGAAGTTTGGTAGCGCTCTCATATTGAGAGCACTCATTGTAAGCATTTGTATATATAATACAAATAATACTCATTTGTATATATAATACAAAATCATGATTTTTTTAAACTAAATCAGTTTAGGTCCATTAATTGCCATAGAGATACATCCATCTCAATGCTATCTCTCCTCCAATATTCTACAAGTCTATGTTATTTGAGGGGTGACGATTAAATGTATATGCCTATATTTCAGTTCAGGTTTTACCCCTTGAAAGCATTATATCCTAAAGTGTTCAGACCGTGACTGGAGGAAACCTCAGGGCCCTGTAGTCCAATCTTCTCATTTTAAAGAGAGGAGGAAATTAAGGTGCAGAAAGGTTACATGATTTTCCCAAGACTGTCTGTGCAGCTTATTAACCTGTAATGCAGATGTTGTGATTGATAGTCAGGCATCGTAAAGGGATTCTTCTTACTACATTTTGTCATAAATTCTTTTCCTTTTTTTGTTCCACAGTTTTGTGGTCTGCGTCTGGGTCTCTATCTAACTTGGGGCTAATTTCGTGCACACAAAATCAAGGAAATACAAAATTGAGAGATGTGACCTCAATAAGCAACTGTGATATCAATGCATATTTGTGTTATTTCACTTAGGATTTTTCCCAACTGGTATCTTCTAGTTACTTAGTAAGTTTTCTCCATAGGTTGAATCAAATTTTCTTTTTTCGTGCTAATATTTCAGGAAACAGACACTTATAGATGAAAAGATAGGAATAGGGTATCTGTACACAAGGTTACCCATAGACGCATGTTCTTTATTGAAAATGAATTTTGTTTGATTTGATATATTAAGTCAAATTTGCCAGTACTTGACTGTTCTAAGTGCCTATTTTATTGCTTTACAAGTACACTATGAAGTACTTTTGATAGATTTGATTGTTACTTTATTAATGATATATGTGTGTGTGTATATATATATATATATAATGTGTATATATATACATATACATGCACTCACAAACATTTTTAAGCTTTTCAGGAAGTGGGAATTTTGTAGTGAAATTCATATTACATGTATTTGTGTGATTTACTATAAAATTTTCATAGTCTTCATTTGTTATATAATCACTTTTATGCCACAGGAGTATTTTACTATACCACAGGATTTTTAAAAGGTAATATAAAAATAAAAACTTTTTGTAATATTCAGGGCTTTTTTTTTTTTGACCTGCTAAAATATAGGAATGTGTAGCTCCCAAAATATGCTTTTTCTTTAAGCTAATGGATTGTTCTGGAGTGCTTGTCTTGTTCTTTATGAGATCCGTGAGGTTTAGCCACTGTTTTACCAATTATGCCTGTTTCTGTGTCCCTTGCAAGTAAATGATGGGGTCTGACAAAATGATACTTTGACAAATGGTAAGCCTCAGGACAGGGTGCCATTTAACTAACCTGGGACTCTGGTTTGGTTTGCAAGGTGCTTTGCTTACAATAAATAATTCTGTGAGGTAGATACTGCAAGTGTTGTTATCCTTATTTTACAGATGAAGAAACAAAGGATTAGATGACTTGCCCATGAGCCACAGTTTAGTATGAGGTAGGATTTGAACCCATATTTGCAGACTTAAGCTCTAGGACTGCATCATACTCCTGATATTTCCTGAAATATCATACTACTTCTCGTCAGTGAATTGGACTTGAGTCTCTCGGTTAGCCCATACTGAGTCAATTTGTGGAATCTCTCAGAGTACAAGTCACTCCTTGGGTTTAGGACCCTTTATAATCTTTGTCTTGCCTCTGCAACTGTGCAGGAATTGACTCATCAGCAAGGATTTTCTTAATTGTAGTCTTTCTAAGGATCATCACTTGTTAAAATAAACTTGATTTAAAGTATGTTTAGTTTCCTATCTCCAATTCTAGCATTTAGCTGTGGATATTATAGTATATATAGATTTAGGGTTTAAGTGTTCTTGGTGCCCCTAGTCATTTTAGGTTTGATGTTAATTGACAGCAGTATCTTCATCCATTCTTTTTTTTTTTTTAAGACCTGGTCAAAAAATTGATAAATGATAACCAGTAGGCCCAAGTAATGAATTGGATCCTATTTTCATTGTTTGAATTAAGAAGGTCACATTTTTGTCATGTTGAAGTAATCATTTTGTCTCATTAATTTTTAAAGGATTACTTATTAAAATGTAAAATAAGTAAACATGGTAACATTCTTTTGATGTTTGTTAGCGTTTTAGCAATATATCAGTCTTATCAGTTCTGCCTGAGAGAGTATCTTCCTCATAAATACAATAATATTTTGAACTTCTGTGGTTTCTTTCAAAGTGCTAAACAAATACCATTTCACTGTGGTAGTGGAATGAGTATCTTTGAGACAAGAACTTGTGAAGGAGCCATTTTAAAATCTCTAGGTGCCATCATTATGAAATTAGAGTAGAGACTGAAAGACTATAATTGAGACTGAAGAAAAAAATGCTGCTTTATGGGATATAATTATATCAAGCATCTCAAAGACCACTTCAGAATTCTCAAGGCCCCTCTCTGCCAGTGTGTTTAGTAGATAGACACTACTGTAGTTTTAATTCTTTTTGGATACATTTATTTTTGTTTTTTCAATTATCTTATGGAAACAAGTTGGAACCTTCAGATTTTTAAATTATATTTTAGCTCTCCTTGAAGAATCAATTCAT